AGGCGAGCCGTTTCAAGGGCTATACTCCTCTGCACTAGTGGTTTAGATAGGGGGCGTTAGCTGTCGTAAACCTGACTATCTCAGTCGACTTCTTGCGAGTCTGGTTTGTTTAGAGCAGCTAGTCAATCCGCATATTAACAGTGCTGCTTGAGCTTCCCGTTTTAGCCGACTCAATTGCGTTACACTCAGAGGGGTCGGCTCTTTAGAGAGAAAGAGAGAGAGGGGCAGAGAGAGAGGGGCAGAGAGAGAGAGAGAGAGAGAGGAAGAAAGAGAGAGAGAGAGAGAGAGAGGGAGAGAGAGAGAGAGAGAGAGAGAGAGAGAGAGAGAGAGAGAGAGAGGGGAAGAAAGAGAGAGAGAGAGAGAGAGAGAGAGAGAGAGAGAAAGAGAGAGAGAGCGAAATAGATAGAGAGAGGGAGGGCAGAGAAAGAAAGAATTGGGGGGGGGGGGGTGACAGAGAATGACACAGAGTGTGAGAACGACAGGCAGACTGAGAGAGACAGAATTGAGAGAGAGAGAGAGAGAGATGAGTGTCGCATTGCAAAGGTATGACAACCCTTTCAACACAGTGTACATAGCAGATCCTTGGATTCCTATGTCCAACTCAGATAGCAAATAATAGGGTCGCTTTTGTAAGGACAAGCGGGCTAATCCAGATTTTTGGGGGTTTCAAGAAATCCTGACCTACAACAAAAGTGGGCCTTGTCCTACTTATAGGAGAAGTTTGATTTCATTGGTGTGTATAATTTGTTTGGTTATAGAGAAAACTCTCCTTGTCTTTTAAAGAAGTGGAACAAGGTGCAAAAACTTTACCTTCGATTTTCTCAAAACAGCATTTTTCGGGGATAGCCCCCTTGTGCTCAAAAGTAAAAGTGGCAAATATGTAGCTGATGTTTGAGCAGTGAGATCCACATCGACAGGATGGCTGTCATAATTTAGTGCTGGGGAAAAGTAAGACAAATAGACAGAAACAACAGAGACAGAGAAAGGAAGTAGAACATTCTTCCAAAGGCCCTCTCCAACCACTCGGTAAATGGCGAAAGAGCCTTGAAAACTTCACAGACTACACAAATTATTCATCATCATCATCATCATCATCATAATAATAATAATAATAATAATAATAATAATAATAATAATAATAATAATAATAGTGATAGATCTAATGAGAATAAGAACAAGAATGCACTCTGAAACATTGACTCAGTGGGAAGAAACAGAGCTAGCAGCTGATTTAGCGCTCAAATATTAACTAACAGACAAGAAATTTCGCAGCCTATAGCTGGATACCCATTCCCACCGGGGTGAAGTGAGGATACAAAGAAAACCTTGGTGCCCTGACGCGATTCGAACCTATGACCTTACGGTTGCGAGACCGAGAGCCTAACCACTTGACCTCCGATGTCACCTGCAACTCAAATCGGTCATGTTGTTAAATTAATAATAAGTGTAGAAGATTATAGTTGTAATAGTAATAATAGTGAGTGGCGTACAATCAATCAATCAATCAATCAATCAATTAATTAATAATAAATAAATAATTAAAAATATATAAATGATTAATTAATTAATTAACTAACTAAAAATAAATTGTTTAATGAATTTAAAAAGTAAATAAATGAATAAATAAATTTTAAAACATAACAAAATAAAAGAAGAAGGAGAAATTAGGACGATTTATAGAAATGTTTGACAAGAAAGAAGGAGCAAAAACCACAACCAAGCACCCAGCAGCAGCCCACATTTTAGTTTACTCAGTCAACCATCTGGCTGTGCTAGGTTTCATCTAAAGTGCATTGCGTCCTATTTTATGCAGATCTCTTTTTATAGGTTGCTGTGCTTTTGATGAACTAGAATTACCATCCGAGTAAATATAATCATAACAATACAATGGGGATTCTGTCAATGTGTGTTTTTTCAGGACACTTTTTTATGATCCGTTTACTTTCTCAATTAAAAAATATATATTCCTGGTATCGCAACGCGGTGGAATCAGGCGTTCGAAATTTTTGGACATAATATGGAGTTATTCAATTGAGAAAATGTTAAAAGTAGCTTGTCCACTTGTCTTGCTTTTGATGAAAAGAATGCCCACCGTCTTGAATAGAGTTTGAGATTATTTTTCTGATTGAAGGAGATGGGGGTCGCTTAACGTCAAGATAAAAGTTATCAAAAAAAGGGCCGCCAAAGTTCTGTGGCTTCCAAAGCTGTTTGTAA